AAACCCCAAAAAAAAAAAAAAAAAAAAACAACTTTCAACAATAAAGCCAAAATCATGTTTAATGGGTAAATATTAAAAGCTTTAGAATCAGGGCTGGAGCTGTAGCTCTACTTGCCTAGAAACTTTGCCCCCAACACAGAAACAAAAAGCAAAAAGCAAAAAAATGAACAAACAAAACCGAAGGCAAATATCTGTGTGTGGACCATAAAACAGATAATTAAGCCAGGTGTGGTGGTGCACACCTGCAATCTCAGCACTTGGGAGGCTGAAGCAGGAGGATTACCATGTGTTCAAGGCCAGCCTGGGCTATATAGTGAGTGCAAGGCTATACCCGTGGACTACATACTGAGACCCTCTTCAAAAAAAAAAAAAAAAGGGAAAAGACTCACAAATTAATCTTTAAATTTACCTAACATCCTGCTTTAAGAACCCAGAAATTATTCTTTAAATGCAGTGACTCTAAAATTGATACTGAGAAAATGCTCAAAACAGCTAGAGAACTGAAAAGGGACAAGGTTAACTTATTAACCATCCAAGTGAACATTAAAAAGGCCATATACTTGGACTGATAAACTGAGCTCACTTAACACCACTTGGCACTAGGATCTCCACTTATTCTAGAAAACACTAAGAAAAACATAGGAACTGGGTGTGGTGGCACATGCCTGTGATGCCAGAACTTGGGAGTCAGAGGCAAGAGGATCACCATGAGTTTGAGGCCAGCCAGTGCTACAAACTGAATTCAAGGCCAGCCTGTATTGTATAGCAAGATCCTGTCTCCAAAAAACAAAAACAAATAAGAAAATCATAGAAAACTGGATATATTTATTACAGACCTGCTGTAAATGTTATTTCTAACAGTACCTATGTGACAACCCATTAAAGAAATTTTCTTGGGCTGGGGATTTGGCTCAGTGGCCCTGCGCCTGCCTTGTAAGTGCAAGGTCCTGAGTTCAAAAAAAGAAATTTTGGGGGCCTGGAATTTAGCTCAGTGGTTCGGTGGCCTGCCTTGCAAGTGCAAGGACCGGAGTTCAATCCCCAGTCCCCACCCAAAAAAAGAAATTTTCTTCAGAGAAATATGCCAGCCAAAAAAACCACTTTACTTATCTGGAGAATTATTTTGCTTAATCACAATGCCAATACTTTAGTTGATAATCCGTTTAATATGACTTTCAGGAAGATTGAGTACATATTTGCAGCTCAGATTTATTCCAATTATATATGTAGACCACACAACATGACATCAACTTATTTCCTAAATTTCCACTTGGACCTGATTTTCTAGTCGATCGACACTTTCTCTAACTCTGCATTTTCTTTTCATTATGTGGATTTTTGGGAAATTTAAATGATTGAATGAATAGATGGATGCCTTACCTGAAAGTTGATCATTTTTGGCAGTTCCTGAACAGAAACCTATGAAAGTAAAAATAGGGAGAACAGAAAGACATGGGACACCAAAACTAACATTCTAGCAGATCTGAAGTATCCACACTGCAGCCTCAGAAGATGCCACCTAGTGGGATAAAGATATTTCTATCAAGTTAGCAAATCCATGTTTCATATGTATACAGTTGTATTTGTGATTAAGAATATGTGGAGCTTAAAAATATTTTACATTTCTGCCCTCTAACACCAATTTATGAAACTTTAAGCCAGTGACTTTTCTCCTTTGTATAAATTAATTCCAAGGAAATAATGAATAAATAAAAAAGACTAAAAGCCTGGGTCTCTGAATCTTAGTATGTACATCCAAATTATTTTTTCCTGTGATTCTCTTGTCTCTACTCCGAAGCTGGTATAAGAGATCTGAAATTAGATTGAGATTTCTCTTTTCTCTCTCCTTCCTTCCTTCCTTCCTTTATGGGCTTTCACTAAATTGCTTAGGCTAATTTTGAACTTCTGGGCTCAAATGATACAACTGCCTCAGCCGCCTAAGGCATGCAGCTGCCTCATTCAGCTGAGGTTGAGCTTTCTTTTTTGGTACTGGTGATCGAACTCAGGACCTTGTGCTTTCCAGGTAGGTGACAGAACCACTGAGCTAAATCTCCAGCTAGCTTGCGCTTCCTTGAGAAGGCTACATTCAGAAACACAGGTTCATTTCTTAGTTCTCACATTCGTTCATGTTAAAGCTGGAGCCTTCAGGTTAGACTCCAAATCTGTTTCTCTGTCTCTGGGTCTACATCATCTATGAACTCAGTCTGGAATTTCTGAAATTCTAACCAGTGCTGCTGGGGTCCTGGGCTAAAACTGACAAGCAAGAGTTGTAGATTCATTTATAGTCTTCATGGGAAGATCTACAAATACAAGAGATCCTCTCAAAATGACTACAAATCAAAATGTACTCAGCATTCATTGCTCAAATTTCAAAAGGAAGTATACCTGTAATAGTTACCTTTCCTGAGAAACACAGCCTAAAGAAGAAAAGGTTTATTTTGGGTCAGTGTTAAGAGGTTTCAGCGCATGGCTGGCTGGCTCCAGCAGAGTAACAGGGAAAGGGGCAAGAAAGGGGCAAGGATCAGGAATATTCACCAGGGTCACACCCTCAGGCCCTACAGTCACATCCAGACGTGTGTTTTACTAATCTCCTAGATATCTTTCAAACCAATCAAGCTGACAATCAAGATTAAGCACAATACCCCAACTCTGTTATGCTGGAGCGTAATGTTGTAAAACAGGGATGTCATTTGTAAAAAATTCATCTGGGTTTGAATCTTTTACCAGCTAAACTGTGCGAGTCTAGGCAAGTAATATGCAAAATGTTGAGAGAACTACTTCGGATGATTGCAGACGATTACCCTTATGCAGGCTTCTACACTGTGGCCCTTACCTACAAGAGCAGGAGTGCAAAATGAGCTTGTCCCACTCACAGCCGGGCTCTAAGAATCTACACAGTGCCAGCCGGAGCCCTACTCTGCTTTCTCTGAACTACTCGCGTTGGACAAGACCAAAACACCCAAACACACGTGGGGTAAACCCACTTGGGACTTGTACAGTTTAATCTTCTCTAGGGTAAAACCACAGTTCACTCCGTAGTTCCAAGTCCTGCAAAGCCTTACCATACCTGCACCTCTTTACCGCCGCGTTCTCCAATCTAAGACCAGGATCAGGTTACAGCGTCCTACTGAGACTGGAGGAGCAACCCAAACACTGCCCTTCACCAGCGGCAGTAAACTACTTAATACCGGTTACTGTCCCACAGCGCGTGTGCGGAAGTAACTCCTCACCTACAGTTCCCAGGCTCCTTTGGAGTGTAGGCCATTCATCCGAGACCACATTTCCCATAAGGCCCGTTGGAGCTTCTTTCCGGATGACCCCTCCCCCGATAGTTCTTCCTCTTTCGAGGGTCGTTATTGAGTCGCTATCCGTAGTCTTCCTGTGGGCCAAGTTCATTTTACAAAAAAAGGATTTTATATACTGTTTCATTTCATTTTTTAAAAAATGCGTTAGAATTTCAAATAATGGAAATTCGAAATCAGCAATATGCTAAAAGAATATTCTTTGTGCGGTATCTTCTAGCAGTGCACTTATGCTGTGGAGACAAAGAAGAGCCAAAGACTGAAAGTACAAATTGAGGAGCTAAGGATTTACATCAAGGATTTACATTTAGTGGTAGAGCGCTAGCCTGGCATATGGTATGACTCTGGGCCCAACCCCCAAGCAAAGGGAAAAAGAAAAATAGAACAATCAGTACAATAGATGAAAACAGGACGTTTGTCTCAAAACCAGGACTATCTTTCAGTCACTAGTGCTGTTGAAACATTCTGTCTGGGCAGAGTGGTGGAAGTTTGGTAAATTCTGATGAGAGTTTGATAAAAGTGAAAGGGAAGAGGGTCAGGGATTTAGCTCAGTGGTTCCACAGCCTGCCTCGCAAGCGCAAGGACCCGACTTGATCCCCGGTACCAAAAAAAAAAAAAAAAAAAAAAGTTCTATGTATTCTGTCTTCCAGTAGATTTAGTATTTCTGGTTTTTTTTTTTCTGTTTTAATATTTAGATCTTTGATCCATTTCAATTTTACTTTAGTGCATGGTGAAAAATATGAGTCTAGTTTTAATCTTTGGCCTGTGGAAAGCCAGTTTTTCCAGCATCATTTATTAAAGAGTATTTCATTCAGTGAAGGTGTTTGGCTCCTTTGTCAAAGATAGGTGGCCGAGTGTTTTTAGAGTAGTTTCTACATTTTCTAATCTGTTCCTTTGATCCTTGGGTCTGTTTTTTTTTTTTTTTTTTTTTTTTTCCCTGCCAGTACCATGCTTTTTTTTTTTTTTTAATCACAGTAGCTTTCTAGTATAATTTCAAAGCTACTTGTGATGCCCCCTTCCTTACCTTTGTTGTCCAAAATTGAGTTTGCTATTCTAAATCTCTTGTTCTAAATGAATTTTAGGGTTGTTTTCTCTAATTCTGGGAGATATGCTATTGGTGTTTTCATCAGGATTGCATTAAATCTATATAAAAATTTTGGAAGTATGGCCATTTTCACTATCTTGGTTCTTCTACCCAAGAAGGAGGGCTACCTTTCCATTTTCTGATATACTCTTCAATCTCCTTTTCCAGAGTATTGTAGTTTTCAGTGTAAAGATCTTTTATTTCATTAGATTGATTCCTAGGTATTTCATTTTTTAGATGATATTGTGAAAGGTGTTGTTTCCCTAATTTCTCTCTCAGTGAATTTGTTATTTATGTACACTAATGTTATTGGTTTTTAAGTGTTGACTTTGTATCCAGCTATGCTACTAAATTTGGTTATTGAAGTCTTTTGGTGGATTTTTGAAGTCTTCTGTATAGAATGTTATGTCGTCACAAATAATGATAATTTAACTTCTTCTTTTCCTATCGTTATTCCTTTTCTCTTTTTAATTATTCTAGCTAATGTTCCCAGAACTATATTGTATAAGAGTGGTAATAGTGGGCATCGTTGTCTTGTTCCTGACTCTACAGTGAAAACTTTAAGTTTTTACCCACTTAGTATGGTTTTTCATAGATAGCCTTTCTCAGATTGAGATAAAGACCATCTATTCCAATTTTCTGTAGGTTTTTTTAAAAATCATGAATCGGTATTGGACTTTGTCAAATGCTTTCTCTGTATCTATTGATATGACCATATTTTTTTTGTCCTTGGCTGTTTTCATATGGTATATTAAATTTATTGATTTGCACATATGAAGCCATCCCTGTGTCCCTGGGATGAATCCTACTTGGCCATGGTGTGTAACCTTCTTGATGATTTGCTGCACTCTGCCCGTATCTTATTGAAGATTTTTGCATCTATGTTCATTAGGGAGATTAGCCTGTAGTTTCCTTTTTTAGTTGGATCCTTCTTTAGTTTTACTATCAGGTTAATGCTTGCTTCCAGGAGTGAATTTGGGAGTTTGCTTCCCTTTCAATTACACTGAAGAGTTTGAGAAGTAGCAGCATTAGGTCTTTAAATTTCTTGTAGAGTTCAGCAGTGATTCTATCACTTTTCTTTGTTGGTAGGTTGTTAATTACATCTTCAATTTCATTGACTGATACGTTTATTTAGAATTTTTTACCTTTTTGATTCAGCTTTGGTAATTCATATGTATCTAGGAATCTTTCCATTTCTTCTGTGTTTTCCATTTTATTGGAATACAGGTTCATTGTTTTCCCAACACTGGAGATTGAACTCAGTTCTTTGCACTTTTGAGGCAGGCACGGCTCCACTGAGCTAAATCCCTGGCTCTAGAATATAGGTTTTTGAAGTAGTTATCACTGATCTTCTGGATTTCTGCAGGATCTGTTGTGATTTCACCCTTTTAATTCTTAATTGCATGGAATTGAGTCTTTTCTTTCCTTTTTAAAATAAGGTTGGCTAAGAGCTTGTCAATTTTATTTAATCTTTCAAAGAACCAACTATTTGATTAATTGCTTCTTTGTATTGTTTTCTTAGTCTCCATTGCATTGCTTTCTATATGATCTTTATACTTTACTCCTTCATATGAGCTTTGGGCTTGCCTTCCTGTGCTTTTCCTAGAAGCTTGAGGTTCAACATTAGGTTATTTCAGCTCACTCTTTTTCTGATATGGAAATTCACTGTTATAAATTTTCCTTGTAGGATTGTTTTCATTGCAGCCCGATAGTTCTGGTACATTGTATTGGCATTATCACTTAATTGTATAAACTAATTTCTTCAATTTCATCTGTGACCCATTGGTTATTCAGGAAGTTGTTATTTAATTTGCAAGTGTTTATGAAGTTCTTGTGGTTTCTTTTGCCACTGATTTCCAATTTCATTGCAGTATGGTCTGATAATATGCATGGGAAATTTTCAATTCCTTTTCATTTACTTAAGCATATTCTATGACCTAATATGTGATCTATTTTGGAGAATGTCCCATGTGCAGCTGGAATGAATGTGTATTCTGATGTTGTTGGGTAGAACACTCTATAGACATCTACTAAGTCCATTTGTTCAATGGTTTGGTTCAGACCTGAGGTTTTTTGTTTTTTTTTTGTCGGGTTGATGTATTTGTGACAGTGGAGTATTGAGGTTCCCCTTTACAACTGTATGAGGGCTTATTTAATCATGTCTGTTAATATTTGTTCTACATAGTTGGGAACACCAGTATTTGGTATATATCTATATATCTATCTATCTATCTATATATATATTTGTATAAACTAATTTCTTCAATTTCATCTGTGACCCATTGGTTATTCAGGAAGTTGTTATTTAATTTGCAAGTGTTTATGAAGTTCTTGTGGTTTCTTTTGCCACTGATTTCCAATTTCATTGCAGTATGGTCTGATAATATGCATGGGAAATTTTCAATTCCTTTTCATTTACTTAAGCATATTCTATGACCTAATATGATATCTATTTTGGAGAATGTCCCATGTGCAGCTGGAATGAATGTGTATTCTGATGTTGTTGGGTAGAACACTCTATAGACATCTACTAAGTCCATTTGTTCAATGGTTTGGTTCAGACCTGAGGTTTTTTGTTTTTTTTTTTGTCGGGTTGATGTATTTGTGACAGTGGAGTATTGAGGTTCCACTTTACAACTGTATGAGGGCTTATTTAATCACGTCTGTTAATATTTGTTCTACATAGTTGGGAACACCAGTATTTGGTATATATCTATCTATCTATCTATCTATCTATATATATATATATAGATAGATAGATAGATAGATATATATACACACACACACACACACACATACATAATTATTATTTTCTGTTGGCTTGTTTTCTTTACAAGAATGCAGCCACCTTCTTCATCTCTCTCAGTCTTGGCTTGAAATCCACTTTGTGTCCAAATATAATAGCTAACCCTTCTTTTTACTGGGTTTCTATCACATGGAGTATGACAAAACAGTACTCAATCCCTAGACTTTCACTCTATGAATCTTTTTAAATTAAATTATTTTCTGAGGCATATTTCTGGATCTTGTTTCTTGATCCATTCTACCAGTGTTTCTTTTGATTGGTGAATAGACCATTTACATTGATGGGTATGACTCATATGTATTGACTTATCCTTGTCATGTTATTTTCCCGCTGTTGGTCCCCCTCCCCCGTTAACTGCTTGGCTTGCCTAGTGGACTCATTCTGTTTAGGTTCATGGAGTTGTAGTCCTTGTTATCTCTTTTTAGACTTTCAGAACATTTTTTGTATGCGGGTTTTGTGGTCATGAATTTCTTCAGGTGTTGCTGTGGAAGTATGTTATTTCTCAATCAATTTTGAAAGATTGTTTTGAGGGGTTTATCAATCTGGTTTGGTGACTTTTTCTTTTGTTTGTTTGTTTTTTTTAAGGGCTTGAAATACTTCACTCAAAGCTTTCAATTTGAAGGTTTGTGTTGAGAAGTCTTCAGTGATTCTGATAGGCTTACATTTAGAGGTAATTGATTTCTTTTTTCTAACACCTTTTAATATTCTTGTGTTGAATTTCTGGAATCTTTACTATTATATGTCTTGATGTAGTTTTTTTTTTTAATCACGGCTAATTGGAGTTCTATATGCCATTACTTCTGTGAACAGTTTGTTTTGTCATTTGCTCTATCTCCTGCTTTTTCATTGAATTTGATCAATCTTTATTTTATTCATTAAGTTTATTCATACATTATGATCACATTCATCATTGGGAATTCATACCTATACCTGGTATATGTTGATTGTTCTTTTTTTTCCACTTTACCCCCTCCCTCCCTTCCATCCTCCACCCCTCCTTTTTTACTAA